AAAATTAAAAATATGGATCTTTTTAAGTTATTTAAGACTAGACTAGATAAAATAAGTAATAATAATAATATAATTGAAATGGTTCATGAGTCACACATGAGCTGCATGTTCCCCAAGTGATTTGGAACATATTATGGGGGAGATAGTAGTTAGACACAGTTCATAGGGCAATAAAACAATAAAATTTAATTATAAATAGGTGTATACTGTTACGAATATAAAGTTATATAGGATAAACAAATATGGTTTCATGTTACAAGATGAAGTCATTCTAGCAAGAAAAAAAGAGTAGTTCAGATTTAGTACGATTTTTTTTTTTGTATGTGGTTACGATATTTCGACCGATCCCATTTTTTGCTTCTTTGCTCAAGCCCCTGCCCTTATGCCCCAAAAGTGCCTTTTTTCTCTCTCTCTCTCTCCTAAAAATTAATAACTACGACAAAATACAACTGATTTCAAATCTTGCATGCTGCAAGTTATTAAAAAAAAGGGAAGGTTTCAGCTTTAAAATAAATAGAGCATGATGTCTTGTAAGACTTGACATTAACAAAAAATAAATGTAATTAAGTGTTAATGTGGAAAAATTTACTGTTTAGTTTTAGATTGTAAATGTGTTAATAAGACCAACTGAATAGGAATAAAAGGGAATCTATTTTCTACTTATGGATATTTACCCCATGTATACTAGAGGCAATCCACATGGACTCCTCAACCAAAAAGTGCTTTTTTTTTTTGCTCATTTTTTAATAAGGCCGCTACAATTTTAACGTCCTCTGTACAGTATTGTAAACTCTACATTCGGTCATTTTAAGATTATTTAATATAATAATGATAGTGTAAGTTATTTTGTTATTGCTGAGTTAAGCTTAACCAAATCAAGATTTAATGGATGGAGCAAGAATTCAAGGACGTTCAATTGAGGTCCAGCTGTTCTAAGGTAAGTTTTTCATGACAATTTTTAATATTTAGGTTAAGCCATGGTTATTTTGCTCAAACTTTAAAATAAAAAATTAAACTTTTATTGATTGTATTTCTGTTATGACCAGTTTATTTTGTTTGTCTAATTAAGTATGTATATTTTATCTTACTAAAATTACTATTTCTTGGAATATAATTTATTTGCTGCTTGAACAAAAGTTTGAAGATTGTTCAAATTACTATTTGTTTTTAGTTTTACAAAGAATGTTTTCATTGGATGTAATTTTTTCTTCCATTCTTTCTACTTACTTTTCTTGAGGTTTAACATATACGTTATGGTAGTTTGCAACTGTGTGAATACATTACTGTTTTTTATAGTGTGATGTGTGTATAGATAGAAACTTACTTTTCTTGAGGTTTAACAAATATATGTTATGGTAGTTTGCAACTGTGTGAATACATTACTGTTTTTTTTATAGTGTGATGTGTGTATAGATAGAATATGCTGTTGGAACAGTCTTAATTTATCTAAAAATGGTTAGTTCAGATGATTTTTCAGGTCCTTAATTAAGAGATAAAATTGGTTTTTAGAAATGCTGTTTTTATATGTTTTGTAGTTACAGAGTGATGGGGTCAGACTTTCGTTCATCGTTGGCTGTGAAATAGCTGTCATCGTGAAGAAGAAGTGTTTTGAATTAGCTACCTTGCAGAATTTCTTATGTTCAGTTCATTTATGGTCACCACTTCACAATGGCTTCAGCTGGTAGGGTCAAGGTGACCTTCATATTTGTAGGTGTTAAAACACTTGGACAGAATCCAGTTCATACAATTTCTTTTTGTCTCAGTGCGTAAATTGTGATGTGTTTTTATCATCCTTAAAGTGGCATAGTTTACCATTATATTTTATGGAGGAATAAAGGGTGTTTTCCGTAGTGTCTGTTTTTTTGTTGTTTTCTTTATATATATGTATCCATGGATGTGGTTAAATATGCAACTTATTTAGATGCATTTAGTTTTGTTTGGAGTGTTCTTCTTTCAGACATTCTTGAAACCTCCTTTTCTAATGGAACAAAAGAATTGTTAATTTTTCTCAATGAATGTGAACAGAAATCCAGAAAAATAAAGGCAAAAAATTATGGAATTGTGATTTAGTTTTAGGTCAGTCAGATTCTTCTGAATTAGAGAAGTGCTGTTTGGAAAAGAAAAGTTCTGAGAATTTGATGGTTGTTCATTTGTACTGAAAAAAAAAAGACTTGAGGAAATGTTCTTATGTCAAATTCTATTCCCTTTTTCTGGTTTAATTTTTATGCTGTTTTACTATGTTCAAAAATAGTATTATTTGTGAAAAAAATGGGTTTTATTCTGTTGATTATAAACAGTGATTTATTTCAAGGATGTCTGTATTTTGGGTGTCATACACTACCATTAACTTAAACACATGAATTAAAATGACATAATTGTCAGCTATTATAGGTATAAATATAAAAAACAATAATATTGTTTGGTTTTAAATTAGAATAATTTATCTGGTGTATTTCCAAGCTATCTGAATGAACAATTAAAATTAAAGCGTAATTTAAATAAAACTTAGTATTTTCTTTCTTTCATTTTCTATGCTTTGTTTTCTTCCTTTATGTATTTTTTACAAGCTATTAGAATTGTTTGTACTTCCTATAATAATTTGAGATTTTACAAGTAATTGAACCTTTAAGGTCTAAATATCAATACAGGAGTTTGTAATAAATTTTGAGTAGAGAGTAGTGATTTTTGAATAAAAATTCTGCCACTTGTATGTTCAATAAACACTATGCCACTTCTATATTGTGTGGTTTCCTTTATGTTTGTGGGTGTTTTTCAAAGAATATTCTGCTGGGAAATTCTACAAACCTAGAAATTACTACATGTTTGATTCTGGAGCTTGTAACAGGTCATTTGATAGAAGTGAGTCCTGGTGTTATGAAACATATCCTCAACCTACTAAATGGCCTTTAATCATAACCTCTTTTGGCTAAAGTCTTTACTACCACTGTGACTGGTCATCAGATAGAAATTAGTCCTGATGTTATAAGACAACGTACTAAATGGCCCATAATTTTAACCTTTTTGGCTAGAGTTGTTATTACCACTTCTTATGTGTACAACTGCATGTTACAAACATTGTATGCTGAAAGTGAACAATTAAGAAAATACAAGTATATTGTCACTAGTTATTAAAAAAAGATTTAGATTGCCTTGTTCAATTATTCATTTTTTAATTCCAAATAGTGAACTTGTATTTTTCAAATGATGTAATTGCTAAGTTTAAGTGTCTTAATGTTCTTATTGGATATGTATTGAATTTATTTGAATGAGGTGTTGCTTCACAATAAACTTTACAATTGGTTCTTATGATAATTAATTTTGATTTACTAATTCTTACTTCTGAACTGAGAAAATAGAATTGTTTTGAAGAACAAATTTGTGGCACTTTACAAATTAACAGCTAACTAACACTTAGAATTATTTAACTCTCACTGCCAGTTGTGTATATATATTTGTGGTAGCGAAGGAGTTAATTGTTGTGTGATGTATCAACTTCTAAGGTGTTGAAACAGGAAAACGCATAAGATATTCAAATCACAACAACTTATAAAGAATGTCCAAGGGAAAAGTTTTTTCAGTTATATTAATACAATTTTATTCAAACGTTTATAAGCTTGAAAGATAAATTTCTTAGTATAATGAGTAATAAACTTTTAATAAAAGATAATTATAGTTGTTCATTTAAATATAAGCTAACTGGGCATAGCTTTGTGATGTTAAGATGTGGTGCGATAAATTCTTAAAAAATGCAGTCTTAAAATCTTCTGTTTTAGGTAAAATTAATTAGCAAACTACTAAATATGTGCACTTAAAAAATCACAACTTTTAACTTCAGACATTTATTATCTCACTGGTTTTTTCCATATTATGTTACAGATCCAAGTTCCTTGTAAAGTGATTCTCAAGCAAAAGTATTTATGCTGTAGCATAAATATTGTAGAATTTGTTTTTTAAACAATCATGGACAGTGTGTAATCAGCATTTCTGAAACAAACACCAGTTTTTAAATCAAGTCATTGTAGTCAAAACAGTATTTGAATATGAGAAATCTGTTTGATACCACCATAGAGAATGTTCCAATATTTCTTCGAACAAGAAAAGCTAATAGTGAGTACTGAGTTTTGAATGAACTCCCCGATTTCTTATTTTAAACTGCACCCTAGTGGCTCAATGGTGAATCTGTGGATTTGTAATGCTAAAAATTAAGTTTCAATACCTGTGGTGGGCACAGTGTAGATAGCTAACTATGTAGCTTTGTATTTATTAACAAACAAACAAGATCATTTTAAACTACTTTATAGGTTGACTTAAAACAGAGGCACAGTTTTATTTATTTCTTGTAAATTTTGTGCTCTGTTTCTTTCCTGGAGGGGTTTGGTCAAATCAGACTACTTAAACTAGTAATTTCTAACTTACTTTCACTAATATTTGTGAAATAATTACATCTATATTTTCAAGAGTTTTGATAGTGTTTGTGAAACAATTACATCTATATTTTCATTTTAAGAATGCAAACATTTGTGAATTTCAGGAGATTCTACACTTTGGCTTAAAAAGTTGTTTGTGGGATACTTCTATCAATAAAAATGTTATACTATTATGGCTTCACATACTTGATAAATATTTAGCAAGTTTTATTAATGAGAAATAGTGATTCATGTAGATTTGTTACATAAAAGACATTCTCTTTGATACTGACCTCCAGCTTGGTATGGGATGAAAACGTCAAATTGTAGAAAGCAGGTTTAATTTGAATGATTATTGATGTCCCAATAAGTTGTTAAAATATTATAGCCTGATTTTTGATTCATCAGTAGAACACATCTGCTTTGTAGAATCTGTAAAAAGTTTGGTTTTATTACAATGAAAAGCTTTTGTGAGTCTTTCTTTTGTTCATACTGCTGCTGTGTTTGGATAACTTTACTTTTATCAAGATCAGACTTTCTGTTTGTGAAAAGGAAAATGAATTTGATACTTTGGGCTGTACATGATACATGGATATATAAATTTTTGAGAAATGAAATATTCTTATATTTCTAAAGGTGGTTATAACTGATGTAATTTTAAAATGTGATTCCCGTTAATGCCTCCGCAGTTACAAAGGGCGACTTGTAGCAGCCGCTTCTAAAATGTATTTTAGAAAATATTTCACAATCTCTGAGAATGTAAACTTAGAGGTAAGTTTTCCGTGATACATTCCTCCCCAATTTTTGTTCTTGTGGAGGATTTTCAAAGGGAAAGTAGTTATGTTAAAATAAGTTTGAACTTTAACTTCTTTCAGTATATAGCTAATATTTTTTTATTATAAAACTTCAAATTAAATGACTGCCACATTTACAGATTTGGTATAAGAAAATAGTACACAACATTCTTAGGCCACAAATAAAATATTTCTTGCTTTCCTGCAAATGCTATAACTTTGATACCATGTTTTTTTGTTGTTGTTTTTTTCCTTTCTCTTTATAATATGTTTATTGATTATAAAATAATTGGAATGCCATGTTTGTTTTCAAGCAGTGTTGTTTCTTGGCTGCAGTTTGTGAATCAGTTATCTACAAGATTGTTTCCTTGTGCTATTATTTAGACATTTCCAAGTGGATATTGTTCACATATTTATTTGTGTGTGCTGCTTACTGGATAGTTAAGCCATCTATGTTGTGTAGGTCTTAGGTTTTTTCGTGTTTTAAAGTATTTTGTTTGTCATCATATCTATTTGGTTCTTTCTTTTCATGTTTTTTCACGTATATATATCTAGCCAGTTTTATTTTAACTATTTTTCTACAAGGGGTTATTTCTCATGTAGTTTGAAGCAACAGATGACCTTGGCTTAATTAGTAAGGCATATATATGATAGAAAACATGCTTTTTTATTATTATTCACTTACTAGAATAGTTTATTTAAAGATTGGATACATGAGTTGAGATGGATATGGTTCATTCTTTTAAAAGAAACTACAGTATATTTATGCTATACCAAAGGTTATCCATCCTTAACTAGATATGGCATATTTTTTATGGTTCCAAGTTTGGATTTAACCTACCTTAGCATATTTGTAAAGTTTTTCCTCGATTTTCTCCAGCTTTTTCATTCAGTTGTTTTGTACCTTTCAAAATGTAATTGTTGAGTTCTGTTTTTTTACTGTAGCTTTATGGAGTGTAAGTTTTCAAACATTAGAGATGTTGCTCAAGGTGAAGACTTTCAGGAATTCTAAACCATTTTTGTTTGTACTTTCATACTTTACCACAAGATGGCAAAAATAATTTGCATTTCTATTCAGTCATATTGAGATCTTTCATAACCACATTTTTATATTGTTATTGGTTAGCCTGCACAGGCCTCTACTTGTATCCTTGAAGCATTAAGATGATGCGGAACTAATTGATAAAGGTGAGCTTCCGTTATATTTGTGTTTACTACTTTGCTGTCTGTATTTACCTCTACTTGTGATTTGGTGAAGTAAGGAAGTGTTGGATATGCCATTGTTCTTGAATCAATGATATGATACATACCTAAAAATGTGAAAAACTAATGTCATTGGAGGTAAGAAAGAGGGGTAGTAAGTAGTCTGTGAATATATATATACGTGATGTTCCTAGATTGTGTATAACTGCTGTTGGAATTAATGAGGTGCTTCAATATCAACAAACTAAAGATGGGCAGCATGTGAAATTATTTATAGAACAATTTAAAACTATCAAACTCTTCCATCTGCCAAGACAACTATAAGTAGAATAAGCAGAGCAGACCTAAAATTAAGTTCAATATCAACAAACTAAAGATAAGTAGCATGTGAAATTATTTACAGAACAATTTAAAACTATCAAACTCTTCCATCTGCCAAGACAACTATAAGTAAAATAGCAGACCTAAAATTATGTTCAACTAAAGATAAGTAGTGTTACGTCTCTGTTCGTTTGTTAATTTCTGGTATAAATTATTTCCGAGGAACTTCAGCAATACAAGTCCTTTCTTGATTAAAACTAGGTTATTCTTTTTCGATACAACTTTGTAATACACAGAATTTCCACAGTCACTTTAACTTAACTACATTTATAAACACGCTATACTTCACAGCGATTCACACACTTTAATTATGGTGCCTACTGTTTGCTTGACTCAATTATCTATATCTGTCTATCTTTTTCGCTGGCTTTATTTGCAGGGCTTATATACTAAAAAAGAGGGTGCCTGGAACAAACTAGAGTTGCCAGAAAAATTAATTATCCTTCGAGAAACTCCAGCACGCATGCTCTCAGTGTTGCGTGACTTCTGCTGTTGTAACACTGCCCCTTCCTTAGTATTGTTCATCTAGAAAACAATAGCCACTTATATTAAACCAATAGATAATTAACAATAATGTAATTAAATGTACAGAATTTACAAACACAAAATTAAAATACAACAAAGTCTCCTAATTTTACAGGATGTATCTTCATCTGCACTGGTTTCCTTCTCATTGGCTTCTGCTTCACGTAGGGTTCATCTGCTCCATCAAGAAATGTCCCATTATCGGTAGCAGTCACATAAGTGATATTAACTTCATTAATGCCATATGTTTTCCTTCTGAAAACTGGGTAGTTTCTTTTTCGACAGTGGATTTTTAAGGTGACACGTCTTCAGCAGCGTCATTTGTTACGTTGTTCACTTTGTTCCTACTGAAATGTCCTGGACCGTCATAACGCCAAAGCCTGTTGGCATGCACCACCTTTGGCTTACCTCGCCGACCACATTTTATTCGG